TCTAGAGGCAAAACTCTACCTAATGCCTTTTGTCCCATATCTCTAGCTCTTCTAGAAGTACCCGTACTTTTTACCACCTGAGAAGTAGCTATATATATATAATAAAGAAATTTTCTGAGAATTTTTTTTTAGGCCAAAAATTAGCAAATTTAAGGGAAAAAAACCAAATCTATATTGGATTTTTTCCCGACTCAGAATCTATATAGAAAATAAATATATAAAAATTTCAAAAGAAGTTTAAAAAATTTTTCCAACTCTATAATGAACAAATTTTTCGCATTTGGTACGTAAGAACAAATCTTAAATTGTATAAATTTTTGAAAAGAAAGAACATTATGAAAAACTTTTTTCACGAATTCAAATTTGCTATAATATTGACATATTGTATTTACATTCGTAATATTGTGTGTTTGTTATAGCTCAGTCGAGAAATTGTACAAAATATTGAAATAAAACAAAAGCTTTTATATAATTGAACAAAGAGCTGATTTCAGCGAAAATATCATTGCATATCAGAAATGCAACAAAATTACCGAGTGTGTTTTGTACATGGCAATAATTCGAAAACTGTACAAAATGTTGAAAAGGAAAAAGGTTTTTTTATAACTAAAAAATGAGCACAAAATTTTTTGGGAAATTTGAGAGCAGGAAAATTTTTTTGGCAATTTTATGCCAATAATAGGTTGCTTTCCGCCAAAATATGTTTGACTCAGAATCATTTATTTATGTATAATTTTGAAAGAAGCAAAGTTATTGTTGAATTTTTGCTTCAGGTCAATAACGAGGCAGTTTTCCGCGATCCATTGAATTAGAATCGGATCAAATTTACATAGTGCATTGGGTATTTTGTAACAAGCCAGAGAACGTACACATTTTTGAAAATAAGGAAAATTTTCCGCGAAAAAGGCATTAATAAACTCTGGATCGCACCAAAATTAATGTTTTATTAATAATGGAAGTAATTTTGAACAAGATAAGAAGTCAGAAATTAAAAATTGCAACTCAGAATCAATAATCGAATTACAGAGATGCGAGTTATATTAGATATGGAGTTATGTTATTGCAAAAACATGATGATAATAATTTCCATTCCATTTCTTACTTAAGCTATAAAACCACAGAAGCTGAAAGTAGATATAAAAGTAACAAGCTCGAAGTAGTGGCGATTGTAAAAGCATTGCAAAATTCAAAATATATCTACTTGGTTTTAGTTTTAAAATTTAAATATGTATATTGCAAAGCATTTAAGTTGACTATGGAAACAAAAGAAATAAAAAATAGATTAGCAAGCTGAGACACTAAAAGTGAACATGAAGAAGATAATAAGGAAATTGTGCAAAATTTTGAAAAAGGAAAGAATTTATTTGCAACTAATGAGCGATAAATTTTCGCCAATTTTATTTGATACAAAAAGATTTCGTAAAAAAGTTACAATTTTTACGCATAGTGGTTTGTGTAGTTTGTGTACATATAGAAATTGTTGACAACTCGGGGAAGGTACAAGTTTTTGATATACGGAAATTTTTTTTGGGAACTATTCGTTGACAGCAATAATGAACCGGTTTCCACCAAAATATCAACTCAGAATCGCATCAAAATTACCCGGTAAATTTTGTACGTAGGAACAGGTCGAACTATGTATACATTTTTAGAAAAAAAAATTTTTTTTGGAAATTTTTTCTTCAGGCATTTGGCACTAATAAACTGAGAAATGCACAAATTTTTGAAAAAAAAAGAAAATTTTTTTTTGCTCTTTTTCATCTCAATAATGAACCAATTTCCGCGAAAACATCGTTGGTACAGAACTGTGCCAAAATTACCATTAAAATCATTGTGCCTTTGGAATGTGCTAATAAGTAGAAAAATGTACAAATTTTTGTAAAAAAAAAACATTTTCTCAAATCAATAATTTTTTTTATTACAGGTGTTAAAAACTTTCATCAGAGCTATTAGCAGTGGGGGACTTTAACCCAACCTAAAACGCACTTGGATGATCATAAACTTTTTAAACTAGTCAAACAGACTAAACATTAGTTTTGCTGTTCCTTATTTCCTCACTTACTTGGGGGACACCCAGATTCCTACGAATGTCACTATTGCTCACATACCAGAGATCACCCACCATATTACGAAAGACCTTATTCAGGAAAGTTTTTATTTGTTTGATGTGCGTTTGCTTGGCACAACCCCATAGCTGCAAGCCATACGTCCATATATGCTTTATCATTTGGTTGTATATGAACAGCTTCTTGTACAATAGTTTTTTATATTTCTACTTTACATCTCAGCTTCATATCCAAAGTAATACCTTGGTTTTTCGCTGTGTTTTGGATTGATAGCGCCATTCAGTTGTGGTGTACTAAATTCGTGTTTGTGAAATTTACATATGCAGATGTACTTTCATTTATCTTTATTTTCCATGCAATTATCCATTTTCTTATATTTTATTACCCAGGCGCGAAAGCTTATTATTTAAACTAAGACGCAACTTTTGACATTTAAATATTAGTTATTATACTATTAAATTAGTTATATGCCTAAAATAATTACTTGGTATAGATTTGAATCCAGAGAATCTTGCTCTTTTCCAGGCGGCTTTCTGTATCAATTTGATAAAACCATCCTCTTCAAAATTTAGTTGATCTCTAGTCTGCAAATCAGAATTAAGACTTATATTTCTAACACCATCATGCTTGAGCCTATATAGTTGCCGAAATGCTTTAAGGTAAAAAAAGTGAATAAAATCCGGATTTTTTTTAGGCCAATAAATCAAACTGCCAGTAGAATGATAGGAACATCCTATTTTCCGAATGGCTTGAATGAACCAGGGTGAGTTGTCCTATAGCATCTATAACCAAGTACATCCAAATCCTTCCCCACATGTGTTTCTGACAACAAACGTACATTGAACTAGACACTTTTAGCTCTATGAAAAACCTTCAATTCATGCTTAGAATGCCATAAGCGTTCCAGGTACCAATTCGTATTTTATATACTGACATTTTTCGGAAATCATTTCGGAATAGCGATTCTCCATAGTAGTTATAGTCTTATTATGATCTTGTCAATTCCTTGTAGCACTTCTTGCATCATTTTTGACCACTTCTAAATATGTTAAAATAATTTTTTCCCTTATTTAAGGATAAATCATGAATCGCTCTTGGGGTTGCTTCATGATTACCCAGGACCCGTTTTGGCCGATTCCTTTTCTCCTAGCAACTCACCTTGGTATCTAGCAAAGCGTGCTTCGTCTTTTGGTATCTTCTGCACTGCAACATGGACCCATTATCAATTTTAACTCTCATGTGTTGAAGATATTTTATTTTTTAAGTATTTATTTATGCCTTATGTAAAATCGAAGAACAACCTGATTAGGGGAAACTTTTGAATAATATTTAAGTCATTTTCTTTTATTTTTAATTTTGTTGATGACATCTATGCATTTAAATGTATTCGGGATAAGCTCACGCTTATATCCTGCAGCTCATATGATAGATATATCTCTCTGACCATTATTTTGATTAGCTTCGTATATTTATTTTCATCAATATTCCAATTTAGCTTTTTTAACAACTTTAGTTAACTGTCTATATTCATTTTCAATATTTTGTTTTAGTTAATCATTTTTCATCATGTTTATCTTCACGTTAATACTTTCCTTTTTAAGGATTTTTATTAGCTGCTTCTAATAAGTTATATTACATACTATTACCGGCGGAGGTTTATGTTTTTTGAGTTGAGCATTTTTTCTTTGTGCAGAACTCTGGGCTTTTCTCTTCTTTCAGTTCCTTTTGATTTAAAGAATTTAATCTGTTTCTCTAGACAACTCTTTAAAAATTACATTACACGTTTGGTTTGTGCTATGAAGTCGAGAAATTTACAAATTTTTTAAAAAACTTTTTTTTTTTAAATCAATATAGAGCCAATTTTAGGGAATTGAACAAAATTTTTAAAAAAATTTCTCCAGCTCGATAATGAACCAATTTCTGCAAAAATACCATTGGCTCAGAATCGCATCAAAATTAGCCAGTGCGTTTTGTACATAGCAGTAAATTCGGAAATGTACAAAATTTAAAAAAAAAGTTTTTTGACAACTGAATAATGAGCCGATTTGGTACGCAGTAACAAGTAGGAAAATGTATACAATTAAAAAAAAGTATAATTTTTTTGATTACTTTTTTTGAGGCGAATAATGAGCCAATGTCCTTGAAAATATCATTGGCTCAGAATGACATCAAAATTATCCAGTGCATTGGGTACGTAGAAACAAGTCGCAAAATGTATACATTTTTGAAAAAAAAAACGACGTATTTTGCGACTTGTCCTGTCCTTTGCATGTTCATGCTTTCGCTGCGCATTTTTTTTTTCTTTAAAATAATTAAATTTCCTGTTATCTTTTCTTTTCAAATAATCTTCTTTTTCAAGATATTAACATTATTAGTTTAAAATTTGTATTGTTTTTATTTTTTGTACACATTTTTGTATATTTTATATACAATATAACGTTGTATATTTTGTTGCCTTCTATTGGATTTTTTTTTAGTGACGGCAAAACTGTACAGAAATAAACAAAAATTGTGAGGTGCTTGAAAAAAATTTGGCATTTATACGTCCATTTACGGAGAATTTTAGTGACCTTACAATTTTTGCTAATATTGGTTTGTGTTCGATAAGAACAGCACAAACAATGCACAGTGCATATGGTACGTGCTAATAACTCGGGAAATGGACAAATTCTTGAGAAGGAAAATTTTTTTGAGATTTTTTTTCCACCCAATAATGAGCCAGAATCGCGCTAAAATTATCCAGTGCGTTTTGTGGTTGCGAATAAGTCGAGAAATGTACAAATTTTAGAAAAAAAGAATTTTTTGTTTTACTCAATAATGAGCTAATAATTGGGTTAAAAACGAAAACTAGAAATTCAAGTTCATCTAGACTGTTAGCAGCCATATTTATGTTAATATACTTAAAATAGAATAATTGTATTTATGCATTGGATGTACGTTTACTTTATTTATTTTGTTATAGTAAAGATATATTACACAGAATATCTGAACTTTAATCTACATGGTTCATCGTTTTAAGAGTAGCTTTTATGTCATCATTTAATGGAGGTATTGATGGCCGAGGTATCAAGAAAGTTGATAAATTAAATAAATCCAGGAAAACTTTGTAGCGATCACTGTAAGTAAATAAAATTTTAATCTGTAATTTTCATACTTTTATTGCGTTTACCTCAAAGTAGAGCGCAAATACTGATAGCCAGAAGACCCACCAGTTCCTATTTGCTGAGATCCAATCATTCGCTGTACCATCATTATATGATTATCTAATGTTGATAAGTGAAAAAATATATAGTTAAAAATTAATTTGATTAAACCAATGGTATATAAAGTAGTACAATATTAATAGTGCTGTGTGTTAGTGAAAATTAAGAAATTAAGCTTTATGAAAAACTCTTTAGACTCTTAAGAGAGTTTTATGAAAAACTGATTATTGAATAATTTTAAAAATGCTGTATGAATTTGAGATGCAATTTTGTTTGGTCTAATTGTAAAAATATGAGGAATACAAAATGTAACACGACTCGAATTTGAATTGAAATTTAGAAATAAGTAAATTAATTAATTTTTAGTGTCTTCAAGTACAGGTTAGTGTACAATATTACAACATGTTAACTTTACAATATTACTAAAAATGAATTTAATTATCATACGACTTTTGTCATATTCTTTTTTTAATGTGCCAAATATTGAAAATAATACATTTCTATTAAAATCAAATAGTTTTATTTCAATCATTTCAATGTGGTAACTTTTTTCAATTATTAGCGGACAGCGAACAGCGATCAACGGTTAAAGCTCTATAAGTTTAAGAAATGAAAATTAGCAAAACTTAAAATTCTGTTTTGAAATACTGGTATTTTTTCAGTAATATAACATGGCAGCTGTATGAAATTTTTCAAGATCAGCAAACAGTTCAATAGCCCAAATTTTCAATAGTTTCTTCTATCTCTCTAACGCTGCCAGTATTTTTTAAGGGAAAATGTTGGCTGCTAGCGAGTTGTGCAAAATAGACAAAATTAAGTTATGATATGACGTATAAATGTCAAAATTTCCATTTGTATTGAAAGCCAAACTGGAAGCAATGTTATTGATTCAGCAGTGATAACTCTATTCTTTTAAGAATCGCGACACAATGTCGTTAAGGTAGCTAAGTGGAGAACTAGTTAGCTGGACGAAGCCTTGCATTTCTCTTAATCTATTTGCGTTAGGGACACTGTGGGAACAAAAGAGGAACAAATTCTCTCTTACTTTCTTATTTGCCAGGGATAGTTTACTAAACTGTAAAACATACCAAAAGATGTGATATACCTATATGGAAAACATAATATCAACACTTTGGACTAATTGAGAGTTCTCGTTCGTTTCACTTTCTTTTGCCCCTATTTTCTACAAGTTGAAAAGGCTCAACAGCATAAACGCAATTTTTATAGGTTAAAAAGCTGACGTTACCTGCCATAAATCCGAGTTATCAATAAGAATGTAGAAACTAAACTGTAACTGTAATGACTGTTCTGTAGCAGTTTCTTGTTTGTCTAAAGGCGTACAGTCATCTTACTGTGGGAGTACTGTTGAGTTTAGCACACAATATGTACGGTTTGATCTGGAAACAGAGCAAAAAATCTTATTGTTTATGTGGGTGAGAATTGCATATTCCGTTCATATAACCGTTGCATAAAATTATTGAGTAAGAAAAAATTGCAAACACTTCAATGTTCTGCCTTGACCAACTCCAAAACAGAATATATGTCCGAGAGGGTTTGTTTGCTGTGATTTATTTTACACTTCCAAAATTAAAAAAGTTTTTTATTATTTTGAGAGAAAGCAAAATTTTATTTGTAGTTGAATATTCATTTGATAATACTTAATATCAAATATTATTTGTTTTTTACACTTTGTTAAAACTGTTTTTCTTCCTTTACAAAAAAACTTAGTAAATTTATATTACAACCCTTTAAGTCTTAACCTGCCTTTAACTTTAAATTCACAACTTCTTGGGTTATTCTAATGTTTTCCTTTTATTTATCTTAAATAATACCCGCCTTAAACCTTAAAATTGATTAAATAATGTATTTAAGCCTCTCTCTTTCCCCTCTCCCGCCCTCCGTTTCTTTCTGGAAATTGATAAAAGAATCATTCCTGAAATCAATTACAACCGTAAATGTACAATCCCTTGTCCCTTGTCCTCTAATATATACTTGCTCAAGTAACCTGCAAATCAAATTTGTAATATAAATTATAGTAACAAAGTAAGAGTGAAAATAGCATTATCACGTTATATATTTTGCTACTTTTTTCTACAATCTTTTAAACACTATTTAATTGAGAATTTTGAAAATGAGCTATTAAAGACTACATTTTAAGATTAGACTATATTTAAATAAAATGTGAGGGGTATTTTTAAAAAAATAAACATATTTTGAACTTACATCTCCACTTAGTTATGAGAGAATCAATATCCATTAACAGAGTTAGAATCTGATGTGGTTGACTAAACCTTGGTTCGTCTCTGTAAAATGTTATCATTATTGCTCCTTGTAAAGCTTTGTAAGAAAAACGTCTTTCACCTCGTTGTAGCAATGAATCATGTATATGTTCATCAAACACAGTGCGGTATACTTCTCTTCGTTTTTGAATATCCATTAACTTATATTTCCTTACCGCTTCCAATTTCTCTCCCTGTAAAAAGTGTTTTCTTAATATCAACTAATAATGTTTGTGATGTAAATAGTGCGAGCATTAATAAAAATATAATAGTATTAATAATAAAAATAATAGTAATAATAATAATAGTAATAATAATAATAATAAAAGTAACAATAACAATTGTAATAGTAATAATAATAACAATAAAAATAATTATAATAATAGTAAGAATAACGAGAAAAAATAGAGTTGATCGTGTCAACTCTATGATACCCGTACGAATTTGTTATCCAATGTCCGAGTTATGAAAATTTGCCGTAGTTGACTATGGGACAGACAACAATTTTAAGTTGCCATATAACCATATTAATTTATGTAAAATTTCAATAATTTGTACTTTTTTGTATACAAAATTTCAGTACTTTTCAATATTTTCTAAGACATGGCCAAACTACCATTAAATTTTTACGGCAACTAATAGAAGGAGTTAAGAAATTTCAACGGTTCTTATCACACATAACAGCCCTGGTAATACACTTGCTTTCACAATGTTTTTATATTATAATTTCTAAGATAATGCCAAATAATTTTTGAAGTCTTATGGCTGCTACCAGAAAGAGTCAAGCAATTTTAACAAATTTTATCAAACACATTGGCCCTACTAATATATTTGATTTTGCGAAATTTCAATTCCACAATTTTTATTGTGTCTGAGATATAGCTAAATTTACTTTTGAAGGTGTATGGCAGCTACCTGAGTTGCAATTTCAACGACTTTATGAAACACATTGGGCCTACTAGTATATTAACTTGTGCGAAATATTAATACGACAGCTTTTATACAAATTTAAATATGGTTCTGGCATTTACATCATGAACCCTTTGTGAAAATTTGGTGAACTTGGTTCAATTAGTTTTTGAGTTATCGGTGGGACGGACGGATGGACGTATAGACAAAGCTAAATCGACTCCGAATTCGATACTGATCAAAAACATACACTTGAGTCTATATCTCAAACCATTATTTCTTAGCGTTACAAACGGTAAAGCAAATTTAGTATACCCTGCAAACATACGTTCGTACGGATATAACAATAATAAAAATAATAATATATACATTAATAATATTAAAGTCAACGATTAATCGCTTGAAGTTTAAAAAAAGTTTTATTTTGATTTCATGCCAAGATTATTATTGTACTTTGATCGAGTTGCAAAATTAAGCTTAAACTTTAACTTACACAATCGATCTATTTATGCTAATTAATTGATTATTTTGCATTTATTGTTTATTAAAAGCGTGTGAGATAATTTTATGTTAAATATGGAAAGTAAGTAACAAAAGTTTAAAATTAAAATTAAATTAAAAAAAAGAAGTCTCAGATTACAATTTTGCAATTACAAAGCAATTTTTTACGAAAAAGTTTCTGTATTCATGCAAATTTCCATGCAAATGTGATATGTCAGCATTTTTGATGTTATGGGTGTACTTATGTACGGTTCTATCGTTAACTCTTCACCTATGAAAAATCCACGACCCGTGGATGTGGTATAACTTGGTGGGATGTTTATTGACTCTATTACAATATCATTAAGTCGAAATATGGTTAATGCTAGAAATGGTGATGCCCAAGTAGAACGTTTTGTTGTAAGTTTTCTCACTATTAGTATTGCTGCGACAAAGAGAATAACTGATGTAATGCTGATGTCTGTGGTAATGGCAATTATGCCATTTAGATGCATAACTGCTGGTAAAACATGTGCTGTTCAGTTTTTCATTCTAATTGTTTCATTGGAATATCAGAAAATTCTCTGATAGAGGTTTTGTAATCCTGTCATTAAAACTGCAAAGGAAATTGTGTCGTCATTTATTATTTCGATTTGTTCTCTTTTGTTACACATAGTTATATATAAATATTTGGTTGATACAATGGTTTTCTACTAATTTTATTCTGCGAAGGTTTGCACGTCGTTATGTCTCCATGGTTCTGACAAGGATCTTTTTTTCTCCGTAGTTCTGACTGGGTTTTTTTATTCTTAGCTTATGAGTAAGTGCTTATGTTCTATGTCTATTCATTTTATGGTATTGTGGATCATGTTGTGAATCGAATTTGAATGTGGTTGTAATCAATTGCACTTGTTATTGGAACTGAGATAACATGCAGCATTATTGTTCCTTTTGTAACAACGGCTGGTTTAGAGCGTTCAGTGGACTCCATTATATAAGAATATGGAAGTGCTTATTAGACGAAATAATTTTTTTTTTCAATATGTCGGTTATAACAATTGTCGCTTTTTTTAATTCTTAGAATAAAATAGAATAAAAAAGACAGTATAGAATAAAATTTGTTTATATTCTGCTTCAGTATGGAGTTTGCTCGTTGTTTGGTTGGACCTTTTTATCGTTTTTTGTGCTGTTTTAATCAGAATGTCATTAATTTTATATTGTCTCAGTCTGTATGGTCTGAAAATCCGCCTAACCATTTCCATGCGCTATCTAACCAGTTTACAGAGCAACTTGATATTTTTGGTTTATCACCAAGTTTAGCCATTAGCTACACGTTTTATTTTACATGATAGCTCTGTTGGGATATGAGTTTACTTTTTGTAGTAGCTTGCCGTAATTCTTTTGCAACTAATTACAATACTGTCTGATAGCTTTCTAGGTTTGTTTTGGAGACAAGATGAAAATAACCGTTCTACATTTCCAACGCCTTGATTAATGGTGACCAGCTGCGTGTCATATTGATAGATTTGAAAGGTTGTTGCTAATTCAACATTCCTAATTTGAAAAGAAAAAAATGTTTAGTTAGTTTGACTGGATTTCTTTAGTGGGCCTTGAACTCTGCGGCCCACTGATTCAGTTCCGATTCTCATTCGATTGTTCCTTGCCATTACTTCATTTTTTTAAACAGGGGTTCTGTCTATAGCAGGACTCCTCGATGCGAGCTTTCCAACGCTTCAATTTAAAATTATTTTTTCTGTTGTTCATTGCAGATGTTAACGGCTGATGCTCGATCAGTACCTTGATCATTTTTGCGCCATATAAATAATTTCTCAATTTGTCTAACGCCCATAGGATCGCAAGAGGTTAATTTTCGTTTGTTGCGCAAACCTCTTCCGTTCGACACATCGGTGGTTAGTATCAACTCCTTCTGCAAATCTGGTAGCAGAAAAAATTCTGCAAATCTGCAATTAAATTTTCGGTAAAATTAGCAGTTCTGCTGATGTTAACAGCTCTTTTAATTTTTGCAATGTTTTTAATTCTTCCTCATATATGCTAGTTGTCATCTTTTTTGATTGATTTGTTTTGATTTGGGTATTGTTCCCTCGTCTTAGATTGGTTGAAGGTTTCGCTATTTCTTATTCCTTTTAAAGACTCCGTTTTGCCCAGATTTACACGTAAATGTTGTTGAAGATACTTTCTTCACATTTCTTAGGTGTTTGTCTTCGTTTTTAACCCCGAAAATGATGACGTCATCGATGTAAACGTAACAGATGGTATTTGCAATATCCGAAATCGAGTAGGTGTCTTCTGCGGTTATCTTTCTTCCATTCATTATTTCTTGATACCGGAGGCGTCCATCCTTTTTCTCAACTATCCAAATAGATTAGTTGTACGTACCCTTCGATGGTTTTATAATTTCGTCAGGTAGTAATTTCTTTATATGACCGTCAGCTTCACTTCTCATACGTATCGCATACGCATAAATTTAATGGTAGTTCATCGGTATATATCTGACTTCAGCTTCGAAAGTTGTCTCTATGTTTTCCTGTATGTTAATTGGTGGTGTGTGGTTGTGTATCTGTCTTTTTAATTTTTTTTGGATCTATGCATATAGGTAATCGTCTCTAATTTCCAAATTGTTGACTTCAATAGAATGCTCTTATTTTATAAGCAGGCATGTCAATCAGGAGGTCCGCAGGCTGCATGCGGCTAACAGATCCTGATCCTGCGGCCCGTTACAATTTCTGAAAATTGTGAATTTTAATTCTGACAATTTTGTTACAAATATTGATTTAGATCACTAAGAAAGTGCTGAAAAAAGAGTGACGGTTCTGCGGGAGTTTATCACACACCCAAAAACCAAACTTATGCATAAGCCAAAAATAAACAACGAAAACGACTGTTCTAAAAATCAAATATTTATATGTTCGAGCTAGTTTAATTTTATTATATTTGTAAACAGGAGATCAATGTAATAAATTCCAAATTTTCCGAATATTCTAATTAGAATAAGTTATTAGTAACCGAATTTGAAAGAAAGCAACAAAATTTTTAGATTTCGATATTTGTCAAAATGAATTTAACCTATTTACTTTTCCATTTTCTGCTGTTATTGAAACACTTGATGCAAAGTTACAAATGAAACCGAAATGTTGTGCAATTCGGTATTAAAAAAAAATTAGAGAAGTGGAAATTATTAAATTTTTTAATTATTTACCTATAAATCAACAAAGCGTGTTTAAGCAGTGTTCGCAATTAAATATTTATATGAACAATTGTTTTCGATATTAAAAAATAATAAAACGGCTGAAAGATCAAGCTGTTAATCAACATTTTCAATCAATATCAAAAATATTGAAAATTACACCTGGGAATTAAATTCAACGAAATTTCGAAAATTTAGTAATAGAAAGCAGTGTTCGCTATTATTGCTTGACAAATTTGCTATTAAATTTGCTTGACATGCCTGAAAAGAATGTTTATATCCGGTGCCATCTTCAATATATATTTTTTTTCAGTCTATAACTGCTTCTATTTCCTTTAAGGTGTAATCGCCTATAATGCCACCAAAAGTTTTGAGTACAGGCAACAACAACGTTGTTTCAATAGGGTTACTTATGCTGTTGAAGAATTTTCTACTTTTTTTTTATTAGTTTTAATAATTCCACCCGCTGATTTTATGATAAATGGTTTTTCAGCAGAAAAACCGAAGCTAATTCAGTTTTTATGAAAGTTTTATTTGCAACCTGTGTGGATCAGATATTTCAAGATTTCGTTGTCCTTAGTATATTCTATACATGGTACA